CATGCCAAGGGACAGGTACTTGTCTTCCTTGACTCTCACTGTGAATGCAATGAGGGATGGCTCGAGCCCTTACTCGACCGGATAGCTGATGACCGGTATGTTTGATATGAATTGTTATAAATATAATTAAACATATCTTTCACATCTAATCCGTTAACAAATGACTGCAACAGAACTCGTGTCGTTTGTCCCATAATCGATGTGATCGATGAAAACAACTTTGCGTACAAAACAGCGAGTGATATGACATACGGAGGATTCAATTGGAAGATAGGTTAGTATTTTAGATTTTTATTTGTTTAAAATTGATATTATTTTAGCAAATGTAGAATATTTTAAAGTTATTATTCCTGTGAATTACACATGAATTAACTTTGAAAGGGTTTCGTTGGTATAGCGCACCCAATAGAGAGCTTATAAGAAGGAATAACGACCGATCCCTACCTCTCAGGTATTTATCATCTATCATTATCATCTGCTGTAACACCTAATGGTAATCCATTATAACTTTATATGACTGAACAGAAGTCCCACTCTTTCTGGTGGACTCTTTGCAATCGACCGACAGTTCTTTGAATACATTGGCAAATATGACTCCAAAATGATTATATGGGGCGCAGAGAATCTCGAGTTTAGTTTTAGGGTATTATTGAACTATTATTTCTTAGTTTATTATTTATTGAAAATAATTCAAATGTATTTCATTATACGAGATATGGATGTGTGGAGGAAGTATAGAAATCGTCACCTGTTCCAGAGTTGGACACGTATTTCGAAGCAAAACTCCGTATACCCTTCCCGGGGGAAGTGATTACATTGTGTGGCACAACACCGCAAGATTGGTTGATGTCTGGTTGGATGAGTGGAAAGAATTCTTTTATGCCTTACATCCCGGCGCCCGACTTATTAGACGTGAAAGTATCGACGAAAGGGTATTATTTCGAAAGCAACGAAAGTGTAAAGTAAATGAATATCTCGTGAATTTCTTATAAATGTATTAATAATTTGTAAACTTATTTGAAAAGTCATTTAAATGGTATTTAGATAAGATATACCCTGAGTCTCAGTTGCCTCAAGACTACAACTTTTTGGGAGACATACGAAATATGAACAAAGAAGACCTCTGTTTGGATACTTTGCACACCGAAGAGGGAACTCTTGTGTTGAATGATTGTTCATTGAATAAAAATGAACAAATAGTT